GTTGAGTCCAAAATATTAATGTCAGCTTCTATTTTATGAACCATTTATTTCAAACATATCTAGTTTATACACAAGCCAACCAGACCACACTATACCGTAAATGAAAAATAATATTTGCACAAGATCAAGCCAAAAATTAGTTGTGATTGTGAGAGACTGTTTAAATGATCGGAATCTTGGATGCGCACTACTAAGGTGTCATACACTAGAACGAAACGGTCTTCCATTACTTTTAGGTTTTCTATGGTGGTCTAGCTTTAATTGACTCATGAACTCAATTTTTAAATGAATTTTGATAAGTGAAAACAATGCGGTTCATCAAAATACATGAAAAATAAAAACCAGTACTGAGATAAATGTAATAATAGTAATAATAACGTTTACAATGGTAATGAGGAAGCAGTGGAAGCAATGGACAGCCAACTCGTCCTATTGTGGGACTCCTCAGCAGTGCGCATCCACGATCCCGCACTCACATCATTCGAACACAGGACCTACCAGTCTCGTGCCAGAGCACTTAACCGATAGACCACTGAGCCAACCGGTATCCAACGGTGTTAATGTCTAACTTTAACCAATCCACGATGTTCGAGAAACCACACTGCTGAGGAGTCCCACAATAGGACGAAAAGGCTGTCCAATGCTTCCAGGTTTTTCATGGTGGTCTATCTTCAATTGACTATAAAAATACTGAAATCTCTACAAAACCCCTCCTGATCATTAGTAATTGTTAGTTTAAATCTTTCCATTGATGTTTAAGAGTGCAACTAATCACTCTCTTTTAACATATATAGATGGATCTTGTGTGGATTGTCTCAATGTTGCCTTAAATCACAAGTTTTATTAGAAGAGATGAATAGTAGCTAACAATGAGTGTGTGCATAACTAAAAGACAACTATGCATTCCCTTCAAGATTATGAATAGGTCGCATATAACTTGTTGGTTACACAATCGAACCGCGCTCTTACTTCTTTTAATCTGGATAGCAGGCTTGTTTCATTTTAGGAATTCCGGAGAATATCTGGAAGCAAAGTATTCAGATCAATCAGTAATCAATAGACATATTGAATTAGACCCTATCAATCAATCTATTCGAGAAAAGTCAATTAACAACTTGATCAAATAGTCCATTTGGTTACGAGGATAGCTCAAAGTAATAAAACCTACAAGGAAAGTCAATCAAAATCACGACCATCAGAACAAACTAATTGAGGATTTGTGGACAAACTAAGGAACTCAATTATACATGAAATAAGCCTTAGTGATATTGTTCAGAATAATGATAAAAGCTCTAAAGTTAAACGAACAAGCTTAAAGAACTCCACAACATTAAAAACCATCCACCTGATCTACAAATCTTCTTCATCATCAAGTCCTTAGTTATACATTTACATCTAAATTAGCTAGAAAATTTTAATTTTATTCAGCCGCTAAAGAGTTCCATACTAGGACGAAACTGTTATCCAGTACTTCCAGGTTTTCTATGGTGGTCTAGCTTAAATTGACTCATGAATTCAACTAGTCGCAATTATTGGAAAATGATACAGACAATTTAAGAGCGACGAAGTTTCACTGATAATTTTGTAGCCTTGATTCTTAATATTAACCAACTCTTAATCAGATAGTTTCTTTATTTATTTGAACACATAAATATTAGTATAAAGGGGCATTAAGTAGATATGCATCACACAAGTCACTTGATTTGTGTGTGGGCTATGATACTGCCCGGGTGACCAAACTGAAGCAAATGGTTTTCTTAGGGAGTCACACCAGGAGGCAGTGGAGCAACGTTAGGAGATGTAGTCCCACGGTAGTCAGTGACCAAAAATAGATTCATACTCCATTTTTTCCCTCAGGATCCTGGAACCTGTTGGTTTGAAATCACGGTTTCCCAACTCCCCTAGGTGGACTCTCTGTGTCCACCAACCCAGTTAAAGAGTCGGACATTCAGTTTTCATCATATGAAAGCAATTCGAGAGGGAGAGCTGACTCTCCCCTTTCTCGGCCGTACCAGGTCATCTGAGGGCTAACCATAGGAAATATTCATATATTTTGTTTAAAAATAATAACTCTAATTTCCTGATATATATCAATAGGCAAGTAGTACATCATCCCTAATTTGTTTAAATGGAGTATTTCAGTTGACGCCTCCACTTCAGTCACTTCATTAATTAGTTATATTGGTTATCTCATAGTGAAAAATATCAGTTAAAAACATCAGAAGACTGCCAATACATTTTAGGGTAAGGTTATCCATATCATTTTCATTGTTCATTAATTGTATAATATCCAACATATTCAATTAGTTTTTCGGTTCATATGGGTAGTGAGTGGTGAATATAAGAAGGAAATTTCAATGAAACTTTCATTTTCAACTATCTAGAGTTATCTATGATCAGCAACAATAAACATGTTGAGTGTAACCAAGTGTAACACACCAGATTTAAAAAGAACATGAAGATGGTTATGCAAAATGAAATCTTCAATAGGGATTACACTCTAATATTCAACACTTACATACTATCAGTCTATCGGTTAAGTGCTCTGGCGCGAGACTAGTAGGTCATGGGTTCGAATATCGTGAGGTGGGCTAGTGGATGCGCACTGTTGAGGAGTCCCATAATAGGACGAAAAGGTCGTCCACTGCTTCCAGGTTTTCCATGGTGGTCTAGCTTCAATTGACTCATGATTTCAACTACGGAAATACTGAAGTCTCTACAAAATTCCTTCTGACTTACATACTAAATAAACAAAAAAGTGATCGAACGTTGGATTCAACACATTTAGTCAACATTGAAGATGTTATGGCTTATGCTAGATTGAACTTTGTCAGTTAAATTAACAAATAGATATTTATCAGAAGTGGTTTTGTCGATATTATAGTAATTTTAATAGTTGAGATCATGAATCAGTTGAAGCTAGACCACCATGGAAAACCTGGGGGCATTGAACGGCCAACTCGTCCTAATGTGGGACTCCACAGCATTGCGCATCCACGACCCCGCCTCGCGAGAATCGAACCCAGGACCTATCAGTTTCGCGTGCAAGCGCTTAACCACTAGACCACTGAGTCGGCCGGCATCCAACAGTGGTAATGCCTAACTTCAACTGGTCCATGAAATTGAGCGACACATCCGCCAAATAGATATTTCCCGAAAAATTGGCTTAAAATCCCTGAAAACATGTGTATCACAAGAAGTTGATTGATGATATTACAAACTAGAAAACATTGGTATTTACAATTAATTGATCACTGGGTGGTGATCAATGTCATGTGTGTCAGGTCGTTCTTACTGCATATCAAATCCTATCGATAAACTTGCAATGTGGCCACTAGTCTAGGTGACTCAACACTGCGTACATTATGTTGAGATAACATGGTGGTTGGGTAACATTTACTTGAAAATATGAAATTATATTCCATTTAAGAAATAGAAAATGTCTGGAACATATTACATTGTTTATCGAATTCAATTGCTCAATTTACAATAGGATCATAAAACTGATTAATTCGACAAAGTCTACCACATGTTTCGACATTAGGAGATTGGAGACGTTCAGTACAAAGCCACAGAAGTAAATGTAAATATACCTGGCAAGGTATATCTGTAATATTGATAGTGACTTGTGGTATTCAACCCAGTCATAAATATAATCGAAATCTCTAATGTTCCCTTAAGCCAAAAGTTAATTATAATCATTACTTAGATCAAATGCCGCTTGCCGACTTCTTAACACCGTCCAACAATAAAAATATATTTTAGAAAAATGAAGAATATAAGGAATGAACTCATAAGAGCTTATTTACAGACAATAAGAAGAAACTATATCTTGGAGAGATAGATAGTGGCTAACAGTAGAATCCAGTTTGACGAGCGTTCCGTCCTATTTGGGACTCGTCAGCAGGATGTACCTGCATCTCATAGTTGATGTTCACTCTGAGACTCGAACCCAGTACCGTTCGCTTCAAACGCCATCGCCTTATCCACTTAACTACCTGTTTGTGACATAAAGAGAATGATCAATTACAGTCCTAAATAACAATGGGAAGATACAAGTAAGCAACACCCAGTGAATATATCTTGGAGAACTTGAAAAACCAGTGATAAGTTCATTTCTGAAGTGATTAAACGTAACCAACGACTTTCTACTTCCATCTTCTGACTTTTATTTACATGCTCTATTGAAAACCCATGACTAGAGAGGCAAGACAACTATCATCTTGTAATAGTAGCAATTAGCAGAAGCTTAAAATATCAATCATTGGATACCATTTTGTTGATCTAAAGATAATATACTCACTAAAAGGATCGAATGTTTCCCGGACAGTTTGCAGTCGTATACCGCTAGTAAGTCTCATATCGGAACAGAACACCTATCCAGTGTACCAAGACTCTTAATATTTGTTTAGCTGAAGTTATTCTGTGATGGAGATGTTTTGTTCTCTTATCTTAAGGATAGTGTTCTCTAGAAAGGGAATGAAATTTCCATAGCTAAACTATCCATCTCAGAAAATATAACACTGAACCACTAATATCCTTAACCATCTTAAGTTTCAAATCTCTACTTCATCAGCTTAAATAACTCTCTTAACTACAAAACTAAGACTTCATAAGGGGTTTTGTGGAGATTTCAGTATTTTAATAACTGAAAGCGTGAGTCAATTGAAGCTACACCACCATGGAAAACCTGGAAGCACTGAACGACCGTTTCGTCCTATTGTGGGACTCCTCAGCAATGCGCATCCACGATCCCACACTCGCGTCATTCGAACACAGGACCTACCAGTCTCACACTGGAGCACTTAACCGATAGACCACTGAACCGGCCAACATCCAACGGTGTTAATGTTTAACTTCAACCAATCTAGCTTCAATTGACACATGATTTCAACTATGAAAAATACTGAAATCTCCACAAAACCCTTTCTGATATTAAAATCTTCACAGAAACCTCACCCCCTTCTGATATGATTAACTTATAAAATACATTTACTTACTTGATCTTGAATCATTCGATATTTTACAAGATGATAATTTATTGATAGAATATTTATTCTCTTTCATAGCAACAAATAATCAATAATTTCAGGGGTTAATATTTTGGATAATCAAAAATTTTTTTTGTTTTTAGTTCTCTAATAATAATCAGTGTATAAACACTTAATTTATACTTTCATTCAATTATCAATATAAGTTAGAAACAAAGTTTCAGTCACTTGGATATTGTTTGTTTGAAGTTTCGGTGAGTTAATCATTCAGTCAATAGGAGAGAGAGAGAGAGTGGGGTGGAAGGAAAGGTAAATATTGATATCCTTTTTAACTTATAAATAAAAGGGGGGGGTGAAATTTATCTTTATGTATTTGTCTATTGTTTGTTTGTTTGTTTGTTTGTTCTTTAACATGATCCTTGAGAGTCAGTTGAAAAATGTAAGTCTTGGTAACAACGTACAAGGACTATAATGTATTACCTTTTATATATATAGATAGCCAATCATGAAGTGATTAAATGTATATTACTTTAATTACAACTTTTTATAGAGAGGGGGAGGAATATATTCCATTGAATAAAGTTAGGGGAAATTTTATAATTTCATATTTCCGATTGGTAGATTTTTACAAGAAATGATAGGATGAAACACGCGTCAAACTGGATTCCCCTACTAGCCACTATCCATCTTTGCTTGTAGTGCTTGTGAATTAAGGCAATATGTTAGTAATGCAGAGGTTCGGCATCGTGTGTTCGGGCGCAGAGACGATAATTCAATTTGTGTCACCATTTTGAAACACCGACTTCGTTGGCTTGGACATGTTCTACAAATGTCGTCCCAGAGAATTCCACAGCGTGAATTAGTTTCTGACACTGGGACTGGTTGGAAAAAGCGGAGAGATGGTCAGTGTATGACATGGTGTGGTGGTATAAAAGAAAGCTGCAAAGGGCTGGTTTCTGTTGGTCCTTCACGACTCCCTGGCTGGGGTCCGAGAGATGGTGCAACACAGTGGCTAGAGACGTTATCAGATATGGCTCAGAATAGAAGCCAGTGGCGAGCCTGCTGTAACGTTCTTTTACTTTCTTCATAAAGAGTGGTTCTAACTTTCTTAACTGAGTTTTCTGGTTGTACATTTCAGTTTCCCCCATCATTACTCTTCTCTTTTTTCTCATCCTATTTTTTTCTTTTATATATACGCATCTTCCCCTTTCTCTTACCATTCTCATTGTTTTCTGGTGCCCCTTTGTACCAATATGTATGTGTTTAAATAAATAATGCCAATAAGAGACTGACCAGTTGCAGTCTTAAACATCAATGGGAAGATTCAAACAAACAAATCTAAGTTAATTTAAGCTTCACCCCATTGCACAATCAAGTAGCTATCAGGACTCAGTTGCTGAGCGGATAACGTGATGGCGTTTGAAGCGAAAGGTACTGGGTTCGAGTTCCTCCCAGAGTGAACATCAACATCTGAGATGTAGGTACATCCAGGCGACGAGTCACAAATAGGACGAAACGCGCGTCCAACTGGATTCCAATGGGTAACATTATATACCTGAGACAATTCATTGATAAATAGAATAAACTTAGTGACATAATAAATATGTAGTCCTATCTTGTTAACTTACAATTATATGGTACTTATAAGTAGCTATAGGTAATACTAGTTAAGATGAGAAAAATTAACGTGGTTACATTCTCAGAATGTAACCACGTACATACAAATATATTGTATGTTTCATTATAAACCGAAAATATGAAACCTTTTAGTATTTACTTACTTACTTCTGTTACACTTCGTGGAGGAGCATAGGTCACACACCAGCATTCGCCATCCAACTCTGTCATGGGCAATCCTTTTCAGTTCTTTTTAAATGCTATTCATCCTTTAGATTTCTGCTTTCAATTCTCAATTCAGTGAGTTCCTTGGTCTTGTACTTTTCAGTCTATGTTCAGGATTCCAAGTCAGTTCTTGCCTCGTGATTTAGTTTGTTGGTTTCCGTAAAGTATGTCCTATCCACGTCCAGCGTCTTGTTCTAACTTCCTCTTGAGCTCGATGCTGGCGTGCTCTCTCCCACGGTAAGCTATTGCCGATGGTATCCAGCCAACGAATATTGAGTATCTTTCGTAAATAGTTGTTTATAAGTACTTGTACCTTTTTGGTAATGGTTGTAGTAGTTCTCCAAGTTTCAGCTTCGTACAGTAGGAATGTCTTCACGTTTGTATTGAAGATTCTGACTTTGATATTGGTTGACAGCTGTTTTGAGTTCCATATTTTCTTCAAGTATATCAATGCTGCCCTTGTTTTGTCAATCCTTGCCTTTACGTCTCTATTGGATCCTACTTGTTAATCAACGATGTTCCCCAGGTACGTGAAATTTGTGAACATTTAAATGAAGCATATTTTAGTTTAAAAAGTTTTGGAGATTGTCGAATTTCATATTTCTCTTAGTTTAGATTAACCTCTTAGATAAACTACTGAGCCGGTATCCAATGGTGGACATGTCCAACTTCAATCTCTCACCAATAGCTAGCTTCAAGATTTAACTCCTAAAGTTTTGGTGAAAGGCCGTGACCATTAAAGTTCAACAACAGAAGATATGAGTCATTTTCCCCCTACAGCCAATAGCTGAGGATTGCCCAATATCATTAATTTATTGAGGTTAGATGAGCACATAATTGGATTCTGGATCATGGGTTTAGTGATTAAGCATTCACACGCAAAACCTAAGGTCCTGAGTTTCATTCTTAAATGCAAGATGGAGGATATTGATTTCTGAGGAATCCCATACAAGAACAAAACGGCCACTTAGTACTTCTTAGTTTTCAATAGTGGTCTACTTAAGATCAGTTAATTCCAAAACTCTATGAACTGAAAAATGCCTCATTTAAACCCTGAAATTCCGGAAATCTCAACAAACCTCCCCAATAGCGATATCTTTTTGATGGATTGAAGTTATAGATGTATATCATTAGATGTCAACATAGTGGTCTGAAAATTAACAACACTCGTCCTAAATAGTAAAGTTCTTGTATTTCACCGCTTGAGATTATGTGAATGTAAACTACTGAGTATTCGGATACTTGGATCAAGCAGTTGTCTAATATTTCCAAATTTTAAATAGTTGTCTAATTAAAGCCAGTTCATGATACGAATGCTTTTGAGATGGTGGAGAAGATTTGTAGCTTTGAAGTTTGTGTTGATTATGTCGTTCGGAAGAACAATGAAAATTCCATAACCAAACCATCCAGCTCAGAGAACAAAACTTCATCAAATGGAAAATGTTTTTTCCTATTTATTAAGTGCCATTAGTTCTTACTCATTGTCGCTTTTAATCAGTTTAACATGAATGACATTTCATCGTATAATATAATTCTGATGTGTATGTATTGTGCTGACCGACTATTGCTTCTCCAAAGAACATACAAGGAATAATATATACAAATCACCATCGTGATCGGGTGGGAATATCTGTTAATCGAATTCGTGACAACCTGTGAGCTTTTCAAAAAAAAATGTGATCACCTTTAACGATTAACGTATATAACTCTGATAAGCAGAGATGGATGGTGTCTAGCAGTGGAATCTAGGACGCGCGTTTCGTCCTCGTTTAGACACGTCAGTTAGACGAACCTGCATCTCAGAGCTGATGTTCACTTGTTCTAAACGCTATTACGTTATCCACTTAGCTACAGATTCCAAATAGTAACTGTCTTTTCCAATGGAGTGGAATCTAATTCATTTATATTGGCTGTTTGAATTTTCTCACTGATACCTAGGGCTGTAACTAATCAGCCTCTGCTTACAATACCAATGACTTAAGGCAATATCGAGGCAGGCTAAAAGAGACTGATCAATCGCAGTACTAAATATCAATAGCAAAGTTCAAACAACCAATACAAGATGAGTTAAGCTTTACTTCATTGCACAAGCTAGCGGCTATCTAGACTGAGTAGCTGATCGGATAATACGATGATGTTTACAGTATGACAAGTATCAACGGTAGTAAATAATTACAATCATTCGATATTATGAGTTGAATCTAGTTAAAAATATAAACCGCTTCATACTCAAAATAGTTACGTGAAATGAATTCAATTGATTTTCTTTTATGGAAATCGATGAATGATAACCCAGGAGTGTCTAGGCATGTCAGGTGATGTTGCAAAAGCCAGGTAAGGTGAGAGATTGCGTCCGAAGCACGGTATGGGAAGAAGTAAAGTAGCCCAAATCAATGGCCTTAGCCTACATGTCCTCATCTAGAACAAAGGGACAAATATATACATACTTATGATTTGTGTACGCAATTATTCAATCTTACCCAATACACCATACGTATATACCGTAAATAAATTATACCTGGACAAGCAAGTGTATCAACTACTGAAGAATCTTATATGAGGATTTAGAAAATCTGTCTAATGCCACCCAGTTTTCACTGTCGGTTTACAACGAACAATGATTTGTTGTGATAAACAGTTATTTCCTACGATGTAAATTATTCTATTGCTTGTTTACTACCTACCGGTGGAAACTAGGACGAATATCATAACAGCATTCTCACTGAATAAATATCGAATACTCAAATCATTATGTAACTCGCCATAGACGATGTGCTCAATTCACGCTCTTACCACTAGTTGATTTAGTGTCACCCACTGTTCACTAGTTACGGAACAGCTTATGGTTTACTCTCTAGTCCACCGCTGACAAACATTATTGGTCCTTCCAGACTTGCCTTTTCAGGTACAAAAAGGAAAATTTTCTCCAATGTCTTAATAGTACTCCTAATTCAAGTCGACCTCTCTTCTCATGTAATCAAGGTTAAGACAAATTGGGTGATTATCCGATATCCGCCATGCCGCTTGCGTTATTTTAAAGGGAAAATATCACCCACCATCTAGGTAGCACTACGCGGAAGTACAAGTCGAATTTTACTCCCCCCCTCCCGTTTTGAGCAGTATACAAAGGTAATTTTACTGCTAGTACGACATTATATTTGAATTTAGAACATAAACCTAAATATCAAGCTTTCGACTCCGACTAACTTACCTATATTATATCATTGATGCAAATCAGTCTGGATTAGATATATTAAATTCGCTCAGCCACATTATAACTAAACTATACACCTATACAGTAATTTGTGTTCTCATGATTCCTGTGTTATAAGTATAAACCACTCGACTGAGTTAACATTTTAGCTACTAAGTCATAAACCTATACTATAATGACAGTTTTGAGCAAACTCTAAAAGTGAAATTGTATCCAATTCATTAGCTGAAGAAGACTTGAAAATGTGGTGTAGAAATGTTTTTTACATGACTAGTGAACCTATTAAGGTTCATACTTGGTTCATTGATATTACAATCTTATCTATTTCATTTAAAATCACTTACTGAAGGTAATTCTCTAATCATGACCATGTTGTCACATCATTACTAGAGCGAACACCGATTGTACGGTCAATAAAATGACGTCTACGAACGACGATGCATTGGTTATAACTGTACCTTGTAAGACGCCAACCTAAAGACTCTTCCGTCAGTCATATAAATGATAAATTTCGATGTCACAAGATATGTATGAATGAATAGTTTTTTCTTTATCGATTAATTCACAAATACTCTTGATTAGATCAAGTACGCTCAACAAATGCCCTGGTGCGATTGAGAGTAAAGAGATTCAGCTCTGTTTGCCTGTTAGGGTAATGCAGAAAACTTCTCGCAAAAGACAAGAATGGTTCAGGAAACACTAAGAATCATTTTATCCAATCAGCGTTCACTAGAAGTTTTACCAGAAACATAACGAAAGTGAAAAGTCATGTATAGAGTTTCTGATTGGCTGAATACTATACTGCTACTATGTTTAGTAGCAATCCGGAATTTTTGGGAAAGCCAAGGAATTTATAAAATACTATAAAAACCCTATATTTTCTGTGCATGAATGAACCTTTGGAGTAAAGTGCTTCTCGCATATTTTTTTTTTCGTGTTTGAGTTTTAGCATGGGGTTACAAGAATAGCTTAGAAACCAAGTATAGCGTTCAATAAGCATGAGTTATTACTTTCAAAACGCTCTAACATGACCACGTGCAAACAAATACTTCAAGGGAAGTCCTACTCACTGCCTCCTCGTAGCGAGGGTGTTGTTCATGGAATCGAGAAGACCAAAAGCGAATGTCCGGAGCTTTAACAAGGTTGGCGGATACGAAGGGTCCACATAGGGGAGTTGGAAAATCCTCATTCTAAACCAATGGTGCACATGGGCTCCAGTATCCTGAGGGAATAAATGGCGTATGAACCTATTATTGTTCACCGAATACTATGAGACTGTATCCCTCATCCTTAGAGTAACTTAAAAGCGATAGATCTTGACATGAAATCTTCAGGGGAAATTATACTCTTAAATGAAGCACTCACTAATTAAATGGACAGGAAATTGCCCCAAAGTACTTGATAATGCACATGTATTGAGCAGTGAGAAAAAAGATGCCAAACAAATTCACAAACATGTATCCTATTTCGGACAGATTTATAATGGAGAATTAAAACAACTGTAAAAGTCTTGACTATTTTCTGAAACAAAATTCTATGGTTATTTAATCAAATCCAGGTTGAACAACGTGACTACATTTAAATAAATCATTAACTACACCTGTCTTTTAGAATTTGCAATGGTACTTTGTAGATTACTGAACGAAGCCCGCTAATGGACAATGTCAGACACCCCGACTCTGTTCCGATATACCACCACCAAGGAAGTCCCGCATTCCCGCCGCGGTGTTGCTTACAAAATTGAGAGAAAGGAAAATGAATGTCAGGCGCTTCAACTGGGTTGGTGAACGCGTTTTCAATCAACAGAAGTCTGTTTGAAAATCCACTACTTCACCTACACCGGCTTAGACAGCCCATACTTTCAACAAACAATGACGACCCAAAACAGATTGCACAAGTTTATACTTAGTGAACAAGTTGTGTTTATTTTTCAATTCATAATTCGTTACTACCATAAGAGAACTTGTAAATGTTAGTATTAAATTACTATTCATACGTTTCAAATAAACAATCAGTATAAGCCTTGTAATAGTGATGCGTTTTTTGTTTACAGAAATCAGTGAGTCACAACGTAGAACTTCGTACGTACGTACATCAGTTCGAGTTGCCATACCAACACCATTTCTGTATAATACGTGATGTTAAACATTTTTTAATAGGATTTGTGAAATATTTATAAGAGAAGTGCACATCAAGAATAACGTTAAATGTAACAAAAGCAATCACGATCACTATCCACTCAACTTATATGTCTACAGACGACTAAATGAAAACATATCGTCATTTAGTGAAACTCTCATGTTGATTTCCTTTCGTTGTCTTAATGTGATAGCTACGATCAATTCATATTTGTACCATGTTTGTCGGTGTTTATAACTACCTGACAACTCATTATCCAGATAAAAATATACATGTGAATTAGTTCCTGGAACATTTCTTTATACCCCCAATGATATTACGAACCGATCAAATTTAAACAACTATTGAGAACCTGGAAGCACTGGACGGTCGTTTCGTCTTAGTATGGGACTTCTCATCAGTGCGTGCCCGTGACCTCTCCACTGAGATTGGTCCCAGGACCTTCGGTTCCAAGCGAGAACACTTGGCTTCCAAGCTACTAATTCAGCATCGTCGTTTGCAGGTATAAATTAAATCAGTTTGAAACATTGTGTAACCATCTTCCATCCTAGGACGAAATAACTGTCTAGTTTTTCATGGTTCCCAATGGATGTCTTAGGTCAGTTTGTAATGTCTTTAATGTCCAATAATCTCCAAAAAACCCTATACTGATACTTCCCAATATTCTATTCGAAAAGCTTTCATATATAGCTTTTTACTATTTGCACGATTAAGTAACAGTTAAACGGTCAGTAACCGATCATAACTATCTTAAAAATATATTCTGTTGATAAATGAACATTAACCCTGTTGGACAAACAGTGACTCTAGCCACGAAAATAAATGAGTTAAAAGGATAATTTCAGAGGAATAATTAGCCCACTGATCAAAACAGCATCTAAAACAGTATTTAAGCCCTCAAATGCCCTGGTACGGCCGAGAAAGGGGAGAGTCCGCTCTCCCTCACTAAATGCTCTCACATGGCCACACGTATATAGCCTCTGACAGGGAAGTCCTACTCACTGCCTTCTCACAGTGGCATTATTGTTGTTTACGAAATTGAGAGGACGAAAAATGAATGTCCGACGCTTTAATCGGGTTGGTGGACACGGAAAGTCCACCTAGGGAAGTTCGAAAACTCTGATTCCAAACCAATGGTGCACATGGGCTGGCTCCAGCATCCTGAAGGAAAAAAAGGCGTATGAATCAATCTTTGGTCACCAACTACCATGGGACTGCATCTTCTCACGATGCTCCACTGCCTTGTGGGTTAGACCTTTAGGTCAAAGTTTCTGGGTGTGGCCCCGTATGAAAACCAACTGCTTTAGTTTGGGCAACGGGGCAGTATCATAGCTCTCACACAAATCAAATGAGATTTGCGTGGCGCATATGTATTTGGTGTTTTCTTGTATCAATATTTGTGTTTAAATAAATAACAGTATTTAAATAATGCACTTGATAATACGCAATCATAATTCTTCCAGAGATATTAAACGTAGAGCTCACATTTATAATTAATCTCGCCAATTCATATTACTAATAATTCCATTCTTTCACCTGGAAAACTAGTTTTATTTACTTTAGGTGAATAGTCCACAATAATTGTGATCATCTACTTGGAAGAAAAAACTCAGACTAGTTTTCTTAGTGAACGGTTGAAATTTGGTATTGTTTGCTTGTATCTTTCCATTGTTATTTAGGACTATAATTGATCAGTCCCTTGTTGGCATATGTACATCGTGTGCGGATTGTCTCAATATTGTCTTAAGTCACGAGCTTTACAAACAAAGATGGATGGTGGGGCTAGCAGTGGAATCAAGGACTCACGATTCGTCTATTTGCGACTCGTCACCCTATTGCACAACCAGGTGACTATCAGGACTCAGTAGCTAAATGGATAACGCAATGGCGTTTGAAGTGAACGGTACTGGTTTCCAGTCTCAGAGTGTACATCAATTGTGAGATCCAGGTACTTCCAGCTGACGAATCCCAAATAGGACGAAACGCGCGTTCTGGATTTCACTGCCAGCCACTGTCCATCTTTCAAAGGTAATACCTTGTATATAATTGGTATCCAACTTCTGTTGATATCATACACTCTCTTCAAAAAAAAAGAAGACCAAAGAACACATTACGCCGAGATATGAAGACAGACATGAGAAGAATGAACAAAAACTAGACAGAACTAGAAAAGAAGGCCCAGGACAGAATAGGTTAGAGAATACTGATCGGCCGCCTATGCTCCATTGGGAGTAACAGGAGAAAGTAAGTAAGTAAGTAAGTAAGTAAGTAAGTAAGCAAAAAAGACCATTTACTGATTATGATTATTCCATTTTATTTTCATTAAATAACATATAACCTGTTACACATCTACATAAACATAAATACAACTAAAAGTAATTTAATTCAATGATTCACATTTAAAACATGATCTTTACTGTATTACATTACATTTTACCAATAATCAGTAGTACATAATCATTACATCGATTAAAGCTAATTACTAATTGGTCATTGATGAAAAGAACCGATACCAAGGGGTAAGGGTCATAAATACACACACACACAAGAATATATTGATATATGTATAATTCATTTTTCATGTGAATGATGTGCTCTACCCTCTCCCACCTCACCCCATTCCCCCTTCCGCATGGAAACAAAAACCAAAACAACACTTCACCATCGACCACGTTTACTCCAATCTCTTGATTTCCAATTTAATAATTTTGGATCAACTCTTAGATTACGACGTTGCATAGATTTTTGATGTGCTTGTATTAGGTCACGTGATAAATAGATAACATGTTGACCTTTTACATAATATAATACATTTAAATGAGATAATGTAGCAATGACATCATCACGTTTAATACATGTTCTATCAACAATATCACTATATAAATGAGTATAGAATTTGAAAAGAGAGAGAGAAAAGAAAAGGGAAAAAAGGACACTTTCTTATTACTATGCATGAATATTAATGATAAACATAAATTTAATTTGAAAAAAATATCAATCAAACTTGATTGTTCCCCCTCGTAACTATCAATCAATCATCTCAGACTTTACTGCTCTTTTATCTTTATACTAATTACTTTCTGTTTATGACTTTCCTTTCTGGATCTTCTGCTGCCAAATATTCTACTCCTGATTCACGATAAATACTACTTATGTCTATATAAGTAGCCCCCAAATGACCCGGTACGGCCGAGAGTGGGGAGAGTCCACCCTTCCTCTCGAAATGTTAACACATGGCCTCGTGTGCACAGCAGCTGTCAGGGAAGTCCTATTCACTGTCTTCTTACGCTTGGGGTGTTGCTTAAAAAGTTGGGAGGACGAAAAGAGAATGTCCGGCGCTTTAATCGGATAGGCGGACACGGCGAGTCCACCTAGGGGAGTTGGAAAACCCTCATTCCAAACCAATGGTGCACATGGGCTCCAGTATCCTTACTGAACAAATGGCGTATGAATCAATCCTTGGTCACCGGCTACCATGGGACTGCATTTCCTCACGATGCTCCACTGTCTTGTGGATCAGACCTTTAGGTCAAGGATCCGTGTGTGGCCCCCTAAGAAACCCACCTGCTTCAGTATGGGCACCTGGACAGTATCACAGCCCTCACGAAAATCAAAAGGCACAAGTCGAATACACAGAAGCGACAAACAAGTGAAGAAGAGCATTAGAGCTGGTAGGCAGAAATACGTGGAAGAACTGGCAACGACGACGGAAAAACCTGCAAGAGACGGAAATATGAGGCGACTATATGGCAACGAAGAAACTAGCAGGGAAATATGATAAACCAGAGAGACCAGCCAAGGACGAAGAAGGCAAGACAATCATCGAGATTCAAAAACAGAGGAAGAGATGGGTGAAACACTTCGAGGAACTCTTAAATAGACTGGCTCCATTGAATCCATTGAATATCGAAGCAGCATACACAGACCTTCCCATAGATGTCTCTCCATCAACGATCGAAGAAATCAAGATGGCCACCTGACAACTAGTGTGACCGCAACCTCTGCATCAGAAGGCCTCAACATTCACAAAGGAAAAAGCAAGATCCTAAAATGCAACACCAAGAACACCAACACAATCACACATGATGGAGAAGCTCTGAAAGATGTGGAATCTTTCACGCACCTTGGAAGCATCATCGATGAACAAGGGGGATTCGATTAAGACGTAAAGGCAAGGGTTGGAAAAGCAAAAGCGGTATTCCTACAGTTGAAGAATATATGGGACTTAAAACAACTATCGACCAATACCAAATTCAGAATCTTCAGTACAAACGTCAAGATGGTTCTATTGTATGAAGCTTAAACTTGAAGAACTACTACAACCATCATCAAAAATGTACAAGTATTTATGAGTAATTGTTTACGCAAGATATTCAATATTCGTTGACCGGATACCATCAGCAATAGCCTACTGTGAGAGAGAATAAACCGGCTTCCATCTGAACAGGAAATTAGGAAAAGACGTTAGAAGTGGATAGGACATACATTACGAAAATAACTAAACCCTAACTTGGAATCCTGAAGCGAAGAGAAAAAGAGGAGGGCCAAAGAATACACTGTGCCGAAAATTGAAAGTAGACATGAAAAGGATGAATAGCAACTGGAAAGGATTGCCCATGACAAGGTTGGATAGAGAGTGCTAGTGGGCGGCCTATGCTCCTCCACAAGGGGTAACAGGCATAAGTAAGTAAAAATGGCCTTGATTATTTTGAGTTTGGAGATAAGGATAGTTTTGTTCTATTGGTGTTCTGTTATTTAAAATAAAATCCACAAGCATTGAAAACTAAGGTGGGGTGGTCGAATACAAATCTAAACAAAAGAAATGGTTGAAGTAAGAGAAATCAGAGCATCTCATTCAATCCATCAATTTTGATAAAATTTAGAAATCCCACGAGAGAATTACTGATAAAGACAAGTTTTCGAATACATTGGAAGTTGCTAGTTAGCAGTGGAAATGTAACGCAGCGATGAGAGACTTCCTGAAACAAATTAGTGTAAAATATCAAGTTATACTGTACTTAAGTCATAAAACTATAATTCTCTATAGAAGGATTCAGCATACGAAAAGATACATAGATACAATTACTGAGTTTAATTACTTTATACTTAGCGCTGGATCCTGACCAGTTTCTGTTGCTTTAGAGTTTAGTAACAATTCAAGAATTGTTTGAGCCCAATAAGAACGATAAGATAATAGGCCCAAATCACTTAACGGTTTTTCAGGAGATCCAGATTTACCTTCAATTTTGCTCAATTCATAGCCTGAGTAAGAAAAATATTAACACGAAAAATTCGGTTAATTAGTTTTTGAAAAGAAACGCATCCTGTAACAATGTCAACAACTCCGACTACAGCTTTAACTGATGTCAAACAAATAGTCTACCTATGAAAGTGAATCGCCCAATTATGATCACTTCAACATCATAAATTAGCATGATGACTAGATTAAAACCAAGGGATCATTATTAGGGCTTTGATTCATTTACTGAACACTGAGAAAAATCTGTTCGAAAATAGTGTTAAAACCAAAGGGATAATAACCGTTGAAGAAGAAACATATAAAATGAATCACTGCTTCAGTGAGATAACTTCAGCTAGACCAGCACTGAAATGTTATGAAGATAAAAGTGGTTTGACCAATGTTGAATAAAAACACTTCAAATGTGATAAACAGACTCCTCCCACAACAAAATCACCTGTTTGAAAAAATGGTATATAAACGCATACACGCAGGGACAAAAATAACACCTTGTTCAGGACTGAAACACGATCTCTCTTACTGTATCTCAGTCGAAACAACTTTAGAAAGTTCCAATGAATAATGTATACTTTAATCTCTAACACACTTAGAAATTTAACTACCACATCAAACGAGATGATGACTAGGTGTATATTGCCGATTGAAATATATATGTAACTCACTTACCAGGTACTTGAGTATGAGCCCCCGAATGCCCTGGTATGGTGAAGAGTGAGGAGAGTCAGCTCTCCATCTCGAAATGCTCTCACATGGCCACGCGTATATAGCCTCTAACAGGGAAGTCCTACTCACTGCCTTATCACAGTGGCATTACTGTTGTTTACGAAATTCAGAGGACGAAAAGTGAATGTCAGGCGCTTTAACCAAGTTGGTGGACACTCTCCGTGTCCACCTAGGGGAGTTGAAAAACCCTCATTCCAAACCAATGGTGCACATGGGCTGGCTCCAGTATTCTAAGGGAACAAATGGCGTATGAACACATTGTTGGTCACCGGCTACCATGGAACTGCACCTTCTGACGTTGCTTCACTGCCTTGTGGATCAGACCTTTAGGTTGGGTGTGGCCCCATAAGAAAACCACCGGCTTCGGTTTGGGCACACGGACAGTATCACAGCCCTCACACAAATCTCATTTGATTTGTGTGGCGCATATGTATCTGGTACCCCCTTTGCACCAATATTTAAGTATGAAAATAAATAATAATAACTAAGAGCCCTCTGGAAGTTGATAAGTTACCTAGGAACCCAATCAATCGAATAAAATTACGAAAACACAATCTTATAGACCGAGGATACTGATAAGATAGTCTTTTAGTTTATTTATTTAAACACATATATATTGGTACAAAAGGGCACCAGGTACATATGCGCCACACAAAATAATGAAAGTAGGAAGAGAAGGGATGAAAAGATAAGGCGGACTGAAATGTACAACCAGAAGACTCAGTTAAGAAAGTTAGAACCATTCTTTATGTAGAAAGTAAAAGAAGGTTGCAGCAGGATCGCCACTGGCTTCTATTCTGAGCCATATCTGATAACGTCTCTAGCCACTAGTCTTTTAGACAATAAAGGAAGAAAGATAAGTGAAGTGTTCGATTTTAAAAACAGAAGTGACGTAATTAAATCGAGCACTACGCTGACTTTTGAAGTTAAACATATTGGGCTTCATTAAATGCAAACAATTGTGAGTACGTAAATTTAATTATTGAATACGGAGTCTAGCGTATTTATTATAAGACATCCTTTCGAGTTGTAAACAGCTTAGGTAGTGGTTACATTGAATGAACCAACAAAATGCAAAATAAATACTAATAAATAAACTTTGTAGGCGTAACACCTGAAATCTACCAGTGATACTGATAAATCTGATTCTAATGACCCCAGACTAAATTTACATGGCAATTTGAATACAAGAAAAAAGGAGCGGAGTGCAAAAATAAAGAGTGGTGATGAGGTTTTATTTGACTCCCACGCCAATTAAAATGGTTTATTCAGTTGGATCAACAGTCAGAGTTGTACAAATCGAACTGAGTCGTAATTAACAATAATAATGCAATAACTTACTGTATGAGCACATATTTACAATGCTTTACAATTAAGCATCTATAATCCTTCATACGATGTGATGAATACATATCAAAAACGACTAGAAAAGGGAATCAATCTCATGTGTCATTCGCACCCCAATTAGTTAAACTATTACGCCTCACACCTGGAGACCTCTGATAGATCTGTGGTATGGTTATACCACATAACTATGGTTTCTCCCAGTCCCCCAAAAACTGAGCTATTTGGGGATACATTGAGCATAAGTTTTTGGGTTGAGTGAGGTGAAATGATAACCCACCTTGATTTGACTTCAATTAAAAATATAAACTATCGCTGACAACATAAAATGCTAATTTCTAAATATCTAGTCAATAATTTGAACAATGATCATTGTTTACCAATATTAGTTCTTCAAAATTTCCAGGATTTTTAAGAGAAAAGCATGACAGTCACAAAATGCTGGATTTTTGCTCGACTTACTAAATTCAATCAAATACTTTCCATAACCTTTTCGTTGAAAAGGTGGAAGTACTAAGATGCATGCCACGTTGTAGTCTTCCGAGGATTCTTTTTCTTTTGAGAAATATCCAACTAGATGGTAACCACGAGAGTCTACTTCACAAAGAACGTAAAACAAAAATGGATCTGTGTCGTAATATAAAGTTTTGTGATCCAAGAACAGTTTCGCAAGAAGACAAAGGTGTTGTGCGTAAGTCTAAAGATAATTATTTAAGTTTAGTGAACCCACTTTATTTTTACGCCCATCGATCTCGAAAAAACTGTGAGGCAGTTTGCGGTAAACCTCGTTCCCAGGAGGATTTTTTAGTGTACATTTAGCCTAAAAGTAAGGATAATTGATAATAACTCAAACCAGGTGTCTGCGCAGACAAGTGAAACTCTTCAAATACTTCAAACAGAATTCGCATATATATACACACGGAACGCTTGCTAATTCCTGTGGATATGGGGAAAAGTACCATGGTTTAATTCGATATCTTCCTAATTCAATCCATTCCAGATTTCTCATTCTTGTAACAGTATCTTGTTCATGGTGGCTAGAAACCATACTACCTGTTTGCCTGGGTTTTCCAGAAGAAGTTGGAGAGTCATCAAACACAAGATCATTCAAGTCGTTCTGCAGCGTTAAATGTATAGGTCCTTCATAGATATCGTCAGGGGGTCGTTTTCTTTTGAGTTGAGTCAAACTAGAGGAGCTGGAGCTACGATATTTTAGAGGAGGGTTCTAAAAAAACAGATAAACCTTTGATGAAAGCACTAACCAGATTCGATTCTGAAGTTCGGAGCTCCGCTGAACTAATAACTTCATCCTCAGTGGAGGATAAGCTGAAAACAGGGGTAACAGGTTCTTTCGTAGATTTCTTTAATGGTCGTTCTATTCTAGAAAAGTCGAGGCGATCAGCACTGACCCATTCATCCAGCCGTTTGTTATCTTGTAAAAGAAGATTAAAAAGTCATAAAGGCTTACAGTCATCATAGTGAACGTAGTAGTATGTACAATCACCTACATCACGGGTACCCAAAATCTCGGCATTATCTAGTAATGTTATTTACACGCAAAAGTGTGTTACGGAAAAAGTCAGAATCCGGTAGTTTTACCGGTAGTTTGCAACCCTCAATATTCTTTTTTGAGTTTGAAACGACCATAGTTAAGAAGAATGGTCAAACAAGCAAAGCAACATCAGCTCAAGACATGTACCGCAATATATATAATTCCCGCTGTCGGTACTTTAGCTGAGAGAGCAGTTCGAATGGGGGCAACTCAATAAAAAAAATAAGGAGCGTATGTGGGTGTTTGCTCTTCTGTGTTCAGTCTTCTGATGGTTACCTCAAGGAGGGTGGTGGTAATGTTCTGGTAATATACCAGTGTTGAGGTGGCTTGAAGTACTTATTATTATATATTCCAATATCAGATCACCGCTTACTGTATTGTAGCTGAATGAGAATAATCCAGTTGTTAGAGTCTGCCTTTATAAGGTTTATGTTTAAGACCTATCAACCACTTGATTCCCAGGTTTCGTATTTGATCCATGAGACATATCTCTTTTGATGAAAGGACGTACGACAGCTTTGTGAACAGTGCTAGGAACAACGCTGAGGTGATTTCGCCAAAGTGGAGAATTGAGTTTGCCTTAGTCACATCCACTTTTCATAGCTAGTAGTCCAAGATTGTACTTCGAGTTGACAATCGAGAGGGGATTCTAATGATGGACTTAAGTTCTTTGTCTCAAATGGGGCAAGGTGTTCATGATGTGATATCTTTAAAAGTTTAAGTTATTGCCCATTGTTTACTGCCCGTTATTTCAAAGTCGTGAGTTCCCTTTGAAGTTCAAGTGATTCCTCTTAGCTTCTTATGGACCTGTATACCTTTACGTCGTCCGTGTAGATTACGCCCGCTTAGCTAATTTTATCTAACAGATAGTTAATAAACATAAAAACGAGTAGGCGACCTAATATTGTCCCCTGTAAACTCTTAATGTTAAAGCACTCCAACTGGCGTGCATTCTACCTACCATGGGTCGAAACAACCTGTTCTCTAGGTAATTTTGATACCAAAATGGGAGGGGGTCAACCTAAACCAACTTTCTTAATAAGAATTACGTGCGGTTCTGTGTCGATTGCTTTTGTGATGTCAAGGGACATTACATGAACCGATATCACTTGATCTTAGTACGTTGTCCAACAGTCCCATTCTATAAGAAGACTGAACTCACAGAACTTGACTTTACTAAAAACGAACAGTCATCCCATCACCTTGCAAATTATTAGGAGTAACGCTACGTGTCTGCAACAGGCCGAATCTTTTCTATATCACGCTTTGAAGATTTGAGAGTGTGTAGCCTGTTTCCAGTCTCTTAAAAGTTACCGTGAGTCTGGTTAATGCTTGAACGGGTCACACCGGTGTGTTGGTGGCTTCTGCGTACTGTTTCAGGATTATGGATAGGAATTTGTCACATTCAAGTGACCCGAAATTAATCAGATATTGCCAAAACCATCAGCTGACAGAAGAGTCAAAGAGTGCTCAGTTCTTCCAGATTCCTGATATAAGTGGTTTGCGAAGTTGCAAATAGAGATCTTTGCTATCTCTAATTTTGTAAGATCATCGCCATTTCTCCCTTTAAGACCCAGACTCTCTGGTTTGTAAGTTTTCTTTTAGTCATAATTATGCAAAGATATTTAGCGTTAGCCTGCAGTTTCGCTGTTAACTTGGCTTGTAAATATCTCCTATATCCTCGAATGCTTCAAATGGTTGAGGACGGAATAGAAGAAGCTTTCGCTTAACGGGCTTCCGTGTCTGGTAGCAGTGGATCACCAATACCTCCAGGTAAGAACCTAGGTATATGAACGATAATAGAGGAAAAAAAGTTTGGTAAATCATAATAATATGTTATCCTTAGTCCTTAAGAATAAGTCAAGTTTCCTCTTAAAGGACTCCTGGGAGGTCGCTTGGACTAGCTCAGTCGGCAGCGAATTCCAGCACTTGACAACTCTAACTGAGTAGAAGTTGTGTCTGCAGTCTGTTCTGCTATGTAGGGTCTCCAATTTCTGGGTGTTGCCTCTCAGGTTAGTGTTATGACTAAGCTTAAGATGTTTAAGGGGATGATCAGAAGTATTAAGAATACTGTAAGTCATAAGAAGGTCACCTCTAAGACGCCTGTACTCTAACGGGTAAAGGTTAAGTGATTTGAGACGCTTTTCATAAGGTTTGAATTTGAGTCCCCGAACTGGTTTCGTGGCTCGACGTTGTATACGTTCCAGAGTGTCCTTATCCTTTTGGAGGGAGGGAGGAAATACCATGTTTCCGTACTCTAAGTGGGGACGAATAAAACTGTTGAAGATTATATGGAAGGTTCTACCGTCAAACTGGCCAAAATGCGCTTCAATGTTACCAGTGCAAGGTTTGCTTGAGAGGCGTTTTTGTCACAGTTCGCATACGATTTCAGGTCATAGGGTACCAACACTCCTAGATCTTTTTTGACTTGGGAAACTTCTAGAGGTGAGTTACCTAAGTTATAACTATAGTCTGCAACATGTCTCAGATGGACTACCTTGCACTTTGAAATTTTGAATGTAAGTCCGTTGTCGTCTGCCCAACTTTGAAGTCGGGTCAGATCCTCCTGAAGAACTAGTATATCAATATGACTACGTATCTCTCTCCAAAGTTTCACATCATCAGCAAAAAGCAATAAGTCAGATGAAACTTGTTGAGGAAGATCGTTAATATAAATCAAGAAGAGAAGAGGTCCCAGTATTGAGCCCTGGGGGACCCCACCATGACATTCCATAGCCTGAGAGAGAGAGTGAAGTTAACCCTGACCTTAAAGTGTCGGTTTTCTAAATATGAAGAGAGCCAATCAATTAAAGGGGGTTTTATACCCAATCGTCCAAGCTTCTTGATAAGACATGCATGGTTGACCCTATCAAAAGCTTTTGAGAAGTCCAGGTAGATGACGTCAACCTTCCCCTTGCGATCAAGGATGGTTGTCCATCTATCCACTGTAGTCAGCAGGTTGATCATACAAGAATGACCTTTTCTGAAGCCATGCTGTTGAGGTGAGAAGAACTTTGAGGATGATAAGTATTCTAGTATGCCGTCGTATACTATGAATTCCATAATTTTGGAAGGTATGGAAAGAAGGGCCACTGGTCGGTAGCTTGAGGGTTCACTGCATCGACCTCCTTTGAAAATTGGTGTGATGTGGGCCAGCTTCCAAATTTCCGGTAGTTTTCCTCTGCTTAGCGAGTGTGCAAACATCACGTTATGTGGTGTTGTCAGGATTGAAGCTGCTTCCCTCGAAACAGCGGAATGAACCATAACCAGACCAGGAGAAGTGTCTTTCTTAGGTGCTGCAGTTTACGGAGCACCAGGTCAGCACTCATGTCCACTTCGAAAAGTCCTGTAGAGGTGCAGGTGAAGCTTTCGTCAGTATGGTTGGTGTGGGTCAGCTGAAATGTCCGGGAGTATTGTTCAGCCAAAAGGTTGACGGCATCACCGTCGTTATTGGTCGGGCCATTGGGATTAAGCAGTTGGGAAACTCCAGTTTTGCCTTGTCGAAGAGAAGCTGCGCAAAGGAATAAGCTCTTCGGATTGGAGACAAATCTATCGATAAGCTTGGTCTGGAACTGAAGCCTGTCTTCTCTTATTGCCTTTGTGCATTTGTTCCTTATATGTTTGTTATCAGTTCGTTTATATTCAGCCCATTAGTGTCTTTTGCGGCTTAGCAAACGACGAGTGCGGTTCTTGATGATTGGGGGTTGCTTGTAGCTTTTTTGGGACCATTTTAGGAACTGAATGCTCTGTAGCACATAAGATCGTGTGCAGTAAAAAATCCCAATGAGCATCCACTTCAATTTGAGGGCGAACATCCCAATCCACCTGTTGTAGATAGTCCTGTAAAGCTAACAAATTCAACCATTTGAAGTTCCAGCGCTTGCTGCTAGTAGGATATCTTAGCTCCGTTTTACTGACAAAGATGAATGATAAGACGGCGTGATCACCGTTCCCCAGGGGAGCCAGGATTGAGAGGTCGTCAACTAGGAATTCTTCGTTTGTGAATACCCAGTCTAAGCGCGACGGCGTCTGACTGTTTTTCCAACGGGTTGCCGACTTCACATTTTCGAATAATCCCAGGTCGCCGATAAGGTTGAAGAACAGAGCTTCAGTAGAGTTGTCACCTCCAATGTATGTATGTTCCACGAATTTGATTGTAGAAAGATAGGAGTTCCCTAGAATCAGGATTTGAGAGAATCCGAGACGCGTAGAGCGAGTTAATCCTTCCATCATACGTTTGTCATACTCGATGTCGGCAGTGGGCTTCCTGTAAATGACCTCAACTAGAAAACTCGAGGTTGTAGACAATCTTACTGAGCACCATACTGACTCATCAAGATTGAGAAACTCTTGGTTGTGAAGTTGTTGCGCATCCAGGCATGACCGTATGTATAGTGCTACCCACCCCCATTCCTGTTTTTCTGTCGTTGCAGGATAAAGACATTCCAGTTATTGCTAACTCCTGGTCCGTAAACTGAGACGTTATCCAAGTTTCGGATATTCCTATCAGATGGGCATCATTAGCGTTGCCAATTTCACGTAGCTCATCCATTTTGTTCCTTCGGTGAGGTTCGGAATTTTAGATGAAATATATCCTATATCCATAAGATGGGGTAATTTTCACTGGTTAATTTCTTCGCTTCTTATTGTCATTTTGGTAGAATGGCCTCATAACTGAGAGATCACTCGTTTAATCTTGTAGACTTACATAGTCGTATTTTACAGTTTCAGTTTGAAAAGGACAGGAGGCTCGATGACCTGTGTTAGTTCTGGCAATGATGCTTTCAATTTGGAACGCGTGAGCTACTTCCTCTTTGTCTATATGAGCCGTGCGTGAGTGGACAGGTAGCCTACCTATACGATGTTTACCCAGTTCGTAGTCCCTGTCCTTTATACGTTTTTTTATGATCATGACAGTCCACGAGTAGAATTGTCAGCTCCAGCTTTCCCTTGTGCTTGATCCTGCTGTCGTGGGGAATATCCGGATGCATATGGATGCCAGTTGGCAACCGACGTCTATTGGCACGAAATGCTTCCAGAGTTGCAGCCGCCATGTGGGAGGAGGGGAAGGTTATCTTCAACAGCCGGGGCCTAGAGTCTCCTCTCTCTTGGCTAGACGCATTACCTGTTGGTTCAATATGTTCTTGAGTTTTAAGGAATGCCTAATGAATTTCCATTCCCGAATATCAGAGTT